TGTTTTTGTTTACCTTTTAAACTTTGAAACCCCCCACAGGTGGGTATGGGTGTAATAGATGTTAAACTAACTGCTAACTAGGGCTGGTATAATATCTAACGACAGTTTTGTTTTTTGCGGATATAGTCAAAAGAAATGTAGAGTGTAGGACGGACGGGGCCCCACCTTGAACATTTTTATAAAGTCGAAAATCCACCCTTAATTAACAAACCCCCAAAAAATGGTAAATCACTTCATTGTTAATAAGATATCAAAAAATTGAGGTTATTTACACTTTCATCGATTAGATGAAATTATTATTTGAGAAATTTATAGTAGTAATGCAAATTTTTAAGACTGCATTAAAGATTTACTGATGATTATTAGCTATGAATTCGTTGACTAGAAATGACTAACTTTAATGGAGTAACATGCCTACGAGGTTTGACAAAAAACCCCTTACAAACCTTTTTAATCCCATTTTTTCTTACCCCTGCATTTTTTTCCCCCTGCAGGTGCGGGATAAATGGGGCTGTTTGAGGGGACAAACAGCAGAGTGTCATAGCTTTATCTTTAAAACAGCAGACAAAAGAGAATCTTCGAGGAAACAGCAATCTTCAAAAAATCTTTTAGACAAAACGCTTTACCCGGCAAAAAGCATACACCACAGCCCTTTATGACAACAGCACACGTAGTAAAATTAGCAACAAAATGCATTAGTGGCTTTCTTTTTGACACCAAAGTTTTTTTTCATGTAAACACTTATTTTTTTACCCCCAAAAACAATAATTTTTTGAATTTGAAAAAAGCGACTAAGACAGACATACAACAGCACCATCCCGACAAAAGTATACAGCAGCAAAATAAAAAAAAACAAGCATACAGCGCAACAGCAAGATAAAAGACTACGCAACAGCAAGATAAAAGACTACCGCAAAAGCAAGATAAAAGACATACAGAACAGCAAGATAAAAGAATACAGCAAAAACAAGATAAAAGACTACAGCAACAAGAAAAAGACATACGCAAAAGCAAAATAAAAGACAACAGCAACAGCAAGATAAAAGACATACGAACCAAAAAAAAACTACAGCAACAGCAAATAAAAGACTAAGCAACATCTTCAGTCCAGTTATACATCATCTTTAAATAAAACATACAACAGATCTTATGACAACAACATACAACGCAGGTTTTTTCAAAATAATAAATACAGAAGCACCCTTTTAAAACAACATCAGTAGCACCCAAACAGTAGCGTTCAGTGAAGAGGGGGGGCCCGGAGCTGAGTCTCGACCCTGCAACTACAATTAGGAGTACATCGTCATCAAGACAACACACAGCAGAAGTTGCATCTTCAAGATAACAGACATACAGCAATAGTATTTTCAAGACATACAACATCAACATCTTGACAACAGACATACAGCAGCAGTTTCAAGGCAACAGACATACAGCAGCAGCTTCAAGGCAACAGACATACAGCAGCAGCTTCAAGGCAACAGACATACAGCAGCAGCTTCAAGACAACAGACATACAGCAGCAGCTTCAAGACAACAGACATACAGCAGCAGCTTCAAGACAACAGACATACAGCAGCAGCTTCAAGACAACAGACATACAGCAGCAGCTTCAAGGCAACAGACATACAGCAGCAGCTTCAAGGCAACAGACATACAGCAGCAGCTTCAAGGCAACAGACATACAGCAGCAGCTTCAAGACAACAGACATACAGCAGCAGCTTCAAGACAACATACAGCAGAAACATCCTGGAGACATAGTGGCGACGGTTAAGATAAACATGGACCGTCGCAGACATGTGCCCTTCATTACAGTCCCCGTGTCTCCAGGATGCTACAGCGATAACACTTTTTT